ATTCAAAAAAAAATTTCAAAAAACTGCTCACAGATTCGAGTTCCTCCACCTCGATTACCGTTGATTGAGTTTTATGTGAAAGAATCCTTTTTGTGTCGAGATCGTTGTTCGACCAATCAGTGAAGTGCGGACACACAAGCAAGCAATCAATCAGACAATTTATGTTTGCAAGACTCTTCTCTACGAGAAAGAGAACACCTCAACTGTATATGTTGACACTCTATGATTGTTAAGCTGAAATTGTACATAAGATGGTTCATCGACTTGCTCTACTGACATTTATGTCACGATTAGATAGTCAAGTGTGTGATGCGCAGTAAAAGTGTGAAAGTGGGTCTGGACTCATAACAGTTCCACAACCACGACCACACTCACACTCCCATCCTCAATCTACACCCGTACTCACATCTCAGCATCCACATCGCACCTACATTCAACATCTACACCCGACACTCGCTAATTGAAGAAAAAGGAATAATTGTATTTTTCATTTGTTGAGTAGATGAATTGTTATTTTAGATGAAATCATTCAGGTTTCTTAAAGTTAATTATGGTGCATTACAACAACAATTGCTCAAGATGGAGAAAAAAAGTTTCATCGAGTAACACGAGAAGTTGTAAGTGCTCTGCAATAACTTTGGATTCTTCTAATGTCGTTCACAGCTACTAGATACTCGTTTTAGATAAACAACACTCCGAACTGATTTTATTGATTTAGCAAACAGTTTGATGAGGCCAAAAAAGTTTTAAAAGTTTCAGTTCACTATATAATTAATGTTTTCGCATGATTGTGACTAAGAAATATTTTTCACACGAGCGTCCCACAAGAGCGAGCGTGTACATCAACATTAAAAAAACTGGTAATTATATCTGTATGCCAAACTTTGCAGATCGTTGAATAAAAGATCTTTTTTATATTATACAGAATCACAGCGATTGGCACCTCGAAGATATGAATTCTATGCCGTCAAAAACTCTTCCTCGGCAGGTAAATAAGACTTTCATTCCGTTGTGGAGATTTTGGAGTACGCGAATGGAAGACTCATTTTCAAGCGATCTGTCAAGACTGAATAGTGCAAAATCCAAGAAGAGAAGCGAAACCGATTATCATTTTAGGAAAAACTAATTGGATTTGTTTTCGGATCACACGAAATTCCTCTGCACATGCTACACCTGATTTAATGAGGTTGACATCAAGGTGTAATAGTTATATTATCATGCCCGGTACGGAATGCCACTTATCCTAATGGAAAAATCGATTTCTTTTCTGGTTTAATATGGTCATTAACAAAATATCTAGTTTCTGACGTACATGATATTGCATAGCCACTTAAAAATGCCATTTTCCTCAGACTACAGTCGTTATCAGCATGAAAAATAGATCTGTAAAACAAGAAGTTCACGTAAACTGCAGTTGATACTGGAAGAACACGTTTAACCGTGATCCTGAGGTTCTATTAAAACTCGAGTGTTTTATATATGCAAATAATCAGCGGGTTTTGGCGTAAGATCTTCACAGGAAAATTTGAATTATTATTTTCTAGTGAATTGCTAAGTCAAGGCCTTGTAAAGAGAGGACTCTATCGACCTTATATTGTCTGATCAATCTGACTGGTCAAGCAGAATTTGCAAAGACTAATTTAATGTCCGTTTATTAGCATGGAATCAATCGTATTTTGTCTTAATCCTTTCTCAGTTAGAGTTTTTGGTTCACTTATCAGATGTTGAACAAGTCTGACAATATTCAATCCAGTCTGAAGGTTCTACTAGAAAAGATCGGATTCGATATCAGATTGCATTAAAAACCGATGTTTTCCTTTAAAAAACCAATTGGATCCGATGTACATTTTATCAGAATCCTTCGTGCAGGATTCCGAACCGAATTTCGCCGTAATCTGGCATCTGATTATACATACGCCCTGATGGGTATGGATGTGGGTGTGTGTGATGTCTCTCCATCTACACTCACACTCACACCCACATCGTACCCGCGCCCACAGTCACATCCACACCCACACCCACATCCACCCTCCACATCCATATATCCACACCCACGCCCTCCAATCAAGATTTATTAACACAGATAGCTGTCTCACATTAAATCTATCGTGATTTGTTGTAAATGCGGGTTTCCAATGAGCAATCCATAGAGATCAAGAGTTGTTAGTAATTCAAAGCTGCCTAGTGACTTTTGGACCACCCTGTATAAACATAATTCCATTTTCCGAATCAAAATTCTATAGCTATCTTCATTTTTTTCATCAATTTTCTTTTTTCCATCAATAAATACATATAAGAGTGAGAGATACAAATATTTTTCTCTTATACATGAGCAACAATCCATTATTTTAAATCATTATTTGTGTAGATGAATATTTAAATGAAATCAATTGTTTTACAATACCCATCCTTTTCAGTTTGAGAACGAGCATTTTTTATGTGAGCCTCTTTTTTTTCGCATAAAATAAGTATTTTTTGTTACCTATCGACGTTTTGTCCAACGTTCCCCCACTACAGCTAGAGTACTTCAACAGTCATTATCAATCGTGCTGCAAAACTGACTTTTGGAGAAAAGCATCATTATACGAGGGGTCGTCTCCAAATACTCAGTAAAATGTATTATTGAACTGCATATTATTTGAAATCAAAGATTATCTACGGTATTACTGGGCGCTTATGTGAACAAATTGAATTCTGCGATAGATTCTTTGTAACCTCTAATAAAGACGGCAGCACATTCATACTCATTCATTATAGAAGGTCACTCAGCTGTCGAATGTTCGAATGGACCTGGCCAACCTCCCATCCGTTCCATCAACCACCGGGACTAGGTTTGTACATGTTTTTGATGGTAGCACTTGCGTCATATCATACCTATTTTCGTAGGAACGGCAGAAACAAAACGAAGAAAAGAAGAATGACGCGCTTGGCAGTCATTCTTATAAGCATCGCATGCTTTCTTGGCTTAGGTGCTGTGGCTGCAGCTATTGCTGTGCCCATAACCCTTTTAAGTAGTAGTGGTACACAGTCTTCGACAACAACAATAATGGGTAAGTAATATCAAAAATAACTTATATAAAATTATCAGCAATTGTTTCATCCTTAATAATGCAACAGTATGTTCTCTCCCATTTCATTTCTTCTATAAGTAGATACAATATGATTGCATCAAAAAAACAAGAAACTTTAGAGTTCTATGTATTCAACATTTTCCCATTTTAAAAGCAAATCTGATCATACTTCTTTCAATGCTATGCGCCCAGAAAGTAATGCATCATTCCATGATCAAGAGTTCTAACTTCACTGAGATTCATTGAGCTGTCATACGTAGTATTACAACGAAAACGTGAATATCTACATATTCTATTTCATTAGAATATATTATACATCATTTGAAAGAATTCTCGATTGGTAAAGCCTGCCTTCAGTACACATTTCACACCATTCTAGAGAGCAATACTGTTGATCGGTCTAATTAAAGCGTAAAAGAACATGGAATTACTGGTTTCATATTAGTGTCCTTTATACCAAAAAAAGAAGATTTTCTAACAGTAGTATGCTTCGAAAGTGCGTTGAATTTTTCGTAGACTGATATTACTTATTATGACGACTACCTTCAGAATTATTAGTTATAATATTGTTGAACTTCTTCTATCTAAACGTGAAAGAAAAGTCAGAAAGAATTTCATTATCGTATTCTTGAACATACTCACCTTTCAATCACGTCTATGAGAGGCAATGATTAAATCTATCGTAGACGCTGGAACGCGGCATTTGGTCCGTGATTCTAGCTGAATATGATAACGCCTTCAACTTTGTATATCTTCATTTGTCAGAAAGATAATAGTCTGTTTCGCTATTCCTACTATTGGACTTTACAAAGAGCTTCCAATTAGATTTCTTTTCAATAGATAATTTGTCAAGTTAAAAGGATTCAAACATTCACACGAACATAATTCTGTGTTGAATGTTCCTTATATTCAATTAATTTTTCACAATGAAACGAGATTACTTCTTGTCAATGACTAATTAGCACATTTACCAATGTTATATTCGGAATCAGTAATACTTCTCAATTCTGTTCTCAAATGAGATGTATCGTGCCCTGTTACATAAGGGATTCCTAATACTACTTTTCTTATTTTCTCCTGAACTCTTACCTTTTCCTACGCATGTAGGATCGCTACAAATATCACTTGCTGCATCGAACTCATCAACAGCAACAGCTTCCACTACTTCAAACTCAACCACTACAACAACTGTCCTATTTATGAGCACGACTGTTACAACACTGTCCACTTCGACAATCGCGACAGAAACGTCTTCTACAACAAGCACGACCATCGACTCTACAACATCCACCTCGACAATCACGACCACGTCAACAACATCAACAACGTCAACCATATTCACAACTTCTACCACATCAACAACATCAATTGAATCTACAACAACATCAACCACATCGACAACTTCTACCACATCAACAACATCGATTGGATCTACAACAACATCAACAACATCAATTGAACCTACAACAACATCAACCACATCGACAACTTCTACCACATTAACAACATCAACTGAATCTACAACAACATCAACAACACCAATTGAATCTACAACAACATCAACCGCACCAATCGAATCCGCAACAACATCAACAACACCAATTGAATCTACAACAACATCAACTGAATCTACAACAACATTAACAGAATCTACAACAACATCAACAACACCAATTGAATCTACAACAACATCAATCACAGCGACAACTTCCACCACATTAACAACATCAATTGAATCTACAACAACATCAACAACATCAATTGAATCTGCGACAACATCAATCATATCGACAACTTCTACCACACCAACAACACCAATTGAATCTGCAACAACATCAACTGAATCTACAACAACATCAACAACACCAATTGAATCTGCAACAACATCAACTGACTCTACAACAACATCAACAACACCAATTGAATCTACAACAACATCAATCACATGGACAACTTCTACCACATTAACAACATCATTTGAATCCACAACAACATCAACAACATCAATTGAATCACAAACAACATCAACAACATCAATTGAATCTACAACAACATCGACCACATCGACAATTTCTACCGCATTAACAACATCAATTGAATCTACAACAACATCAACAACACCAATTGAACCTACAACAATATCAACTCAATCTACAACAACATCAACAACATCAATAACATCAATTGAATCTGCAACAACATCAACCACATCGACAACTTCTACCACACTAACAACACTAATTGAATCTACAACAACATCAATTGAATCGACAGCAACATCCACAACACCAATTGAATCGACAGCAACATCCACAACACCAATTGAATCGACAGCAACATCCACAACACCAATTGAATCTGTAACAACATCAACCATATCGACAACTTCTACCACACTAACAACGCCAATTGAATCTACAACGACATTAACTGAGTCTACAATAACATCAACTGAACCTACAACAACATTAACAACACCAAGTGAATCTACAACAACATCAGCAACATCAATTGAATCTACAACATCAACAACATCAATTGAATCTACAACAACATCAACCACATCGACAACTTCTACCACATCAACAACACCAATTGAATCTACCACAACATTAACTGAGTCTACAATAACATCAACTGAATCTACAACAACATTAACAACACCAAATGAATATACAACAACATCAGCAACATCAATTGAATCTACAACATCAACAACGCCAATTGAATCTACAACAACATCAATTGAATCTTCAACAACATCAAGAGCACCAATTGAATCTACAACATCATCAACAACACCAATTGAATCTACAACAACATCAGCAACATCAATTGAATCTACAACATCAGCAACAACACCAATTGAATCTACAACAACATCAGCAACATCAATTGAATCTACAACATCATCAACCACACCAATTGAATCTACAACAACATCAGCAACATCAATTGAATCTACAACAACATCAACTGAATCTACAACATCAACAACATCAATTGAATCTTCAACAACATCAACAGCACCAATTGAATCTACAACATCGTCAACAACACCAATTGAATCTACAACAACATCAGCAACATCAACTGAATCTACAACAACATCAACTGAATCTACAGCATCAACAACATCAATTGAACCTTCAACAACATCAACAGCACCAATTGAATCTACAACAACATCAGCAACATCAATTGAATCTACAACAACATCAACACCATCAATTGAATCTACAACATCAACAACATCAATTGAATCTTCAACAACATCAATTGAACCTTCAACAACATCAATTGAATCTACAACATCAACAACATCAATTGAATCTACAACATCAACAACATCAATTGAATCTTCAACAACATCAACAGTACCAATTGAATCTACAACATCATCAACAACATCAATTGAATCTACAACAACATCAACTGAATCTACAACATCAACAACATCAATTGAATCTTCAACAACATCAACAGCACCAATTGAATCTACAACATCATCAACAACACCAATTGAATCTACAACAACATCAGCAACATCAATTGAATCTACAACAACATCAACTGAATCTACAGCATCAACAACATCAATTGAACCTTCAACAACATCAACAGCACCAATTGAATCTACAACAACATCAGCAACATCAATTGAATCTACAACAACATCAACAACATCAATTGAATCTTCAACAACATCAATTGAATCTACAACATCAACAACATCAATTGAATCTTCAACAACATCAACAGTACCAATTGAATCTACAACATCATCAACAACATCAATTGAATCTATAACAACATCACCCACATCGACAGCTTCTACCACATCAACAACATCAATTGAATCTACAACAACATCAACAATATCAATGGAATCACAAACAACATCAACCACATCGACAACTTCTACCACATCAACAACACCAATTGAGTCTACAACAACATCAACGACACCAATTGAATCTACAACAACATCAACGACATCAGTTGCATCTACAACAACATCAACAACATCAATTGAATCTACAACAACATCAACGACATTAGTTGCATCTACAACAACATTAACAACATCAATTGAATCTACAACAACATCAACCCCATCGGCAAGTTCTACCTCATGGACAACATCAACCACATCGACAACTTCTACCTCATCGACAACTTCTACCACATCGACAACATCAATTGAACCTACAACAACATCAACTATATCGACAACTTCTACCACATCAACAACATCAATTGGATCTACAACAACATCAACAACATCAATTGGATCTACAACAACATCAACAACATCAATCGGATCCACAACAACATCAACAATGTCAACCACATCGACAACTTCTACGACATCAACAACATCAACAACGTCAACCAGATCGACAACTTCGACTACATCAACAACTTCAACCAAATCAACAACAACAACATCGACCAGGAGTATGTCCCTTTTTTTTACAGAGCTAAAATCAGCAAAATTTTAAAAAAATCAGCGATTTTATCTTCTTCTGTTTTTGATTTTCAGCTTCATCAACGACAACTACGACTAGTACAACAACTGCGTGGACTTGTATATCAAGTTTAACGGGTGCAACAAGGCTTCTTCATTTGGTAATCAATGGAAGCCAAGGTTATACGCCATATAGCTACACTTATACTGCTCTCACCACATCGACTCGTTTAACACTATCATTTCGTATGGATATAGACAATTGGTCATTAGACACGGTGTCTGTGAAAAGAACCGGTACGAGTCCAGAACTGTTAACAAATGGTAATTTTGATTCTGGTAGTATGAATGGCTGGTCGTCATGCAATCCAAATAACGCAGCGAATTACGGATTTATACAATATAATTGGTTGTATTCGGATACGGGTTCTTACTATTGGAAAGATGGATCGACAGGCGCTGTTGATTATCTCTATCAATATTTTACCAGTGTTATCGGTGCAAATTATACAATTAGCTTTTATTTGCGAGGTGACGGTGGACTGCCGAACAGTGCTGATGTCTATATTGGATCATAGAAGAATGACGAAAACTCTCTATAATAATAAAAGTAATTTTTTGGACAGGTTATAAAGAGACCTTCCTCGTACTGTGAATCAAGCTTTATAAGTAGATTCAATACTCTCTACAGTATCAATTCGCAAAGTAGCACAGTTTTTGTTTTTGACTCTTCGACTTTTCGAAATATTTTCCGTGCATCTATGTTCTCGCCCGATCAGATAATAGATACTGATTCGTTCTTTGTCAAACGAATAACGAGACCAATTCTAATCTCACACGCCTAGCGATCATCGACATTCTTCATTAATTTTCATTTTTTTGTTGATTAATAAACATCGTCTGAAAATAAGCGACAGGAAATGTTCAGTCAACCAAATGTCAAATCGATTCGCTGACAATTAGTTCGACAAGTCAATGATTCTCTTGTTTTGTTTATTTCCTTCTATTGTTCTGCGTGAGTGTTAGATTGGACACTAAATGACATCACTGAAATGCTTTTGAAACTTTGCTTTTTTATCATCAATAGAGCAGCAATGTCATCATGTCTGTTTCTAAAAAAGCACTTATTGCATGCACATACGCAAATATACACCTGCGTCTGGCAACGACAATAAATTAAACAGATGCTTGAGGTATACTGCTTGAAAATGAACGTGTAAATCATATCTGCTACCTATCAGAGAAGATGCCTGTTTTAGAGAGAGTTCGTCAGAGGATCGTCTAACTGCGTATGAGGCTATCCGGAGGTATGTCTTAGATTGTGATGTTTGATATTTCATTTGATAGGCCATAGGATTTGTATATAAAAGGCAACATATTATGGTCAAATGTCAATGTAGTTGTGAAAAGATGGGTTGCACAAGTAGATCACTGTCATCGAACTTATCAAAATTCATCAGTTTTTTTT